CCGGTTCGTTCCAGAATGTCCGGGATCCAATCCAGCCGTCTCATCTTCAGAGTTCGGCAGGGGGCAGCTGAGATAAAAATGATTCAGCTTTTGTGATTGGTTGTCGTAGACTGTGCAGATCTCCGCTCCAAATAGGAGTGTCTTCATGATGACAGCCTTGTACATATTCAATTTGTTGTTCAGTTGTAGGCCGTGGCGACTCCACAGGGAGGCTTGCAGCCGATCAAAGGCCCCAGTGCGTAACCTTAAGATAACCTTAAGATAAGTGAAGTTCTCCACATCTTTGAATTGTTTGCCGTTGACACTGACGCGAGGAGTGTTGCATTTGCACTGTGGAACGATTGGTGCGCGAACACCACTTTGGCCTTGTTGATTGTTAGCCCAAAATAGACGCTGCCGGCCGCGAAGAGGTACATGCTCCTTTGTATGTTTTTCTCTGTCGTGGTGTTGAGGGCGCAGTCTTCCGCAAAGACCAGGTCGTAGACTGTAGCCGCATACAACCGCGTTGGCACCTACATATATAGCTATTATTGCGAAATTGTCCGCTATTTCTATAGGTGGTGCAGAACCCAGGGCACTCGCCATGATAGGCATCTATCAGCACAGCAGAGAACAAGAGACTGAAGTGGGTGGGAGCGATAACGCAGCCCTACTTCATTTCATTGGTCACTGCGAAAACTTCGGACACCGACCCATTTTAAGTGACACCTGCCCGTCGTGGAGCTGACACAACATATGCCTGAACCACTCAGACAGCGAACTTTCTGCATGCTTTTCCGCAGCCCTTCGCGATTCACCACATTAAAGACTTTATTTAGACCCATGAAGGTCTGTATGGGTGGTTTCGCATCCCCAGATACTTTTCTTATAGCTGGAGAACGTAGGAGATCGTGTCGGTCATTCCATGGTGTCAATGGAACCTATATTGACTTTTCGGGAGAAGTCACTGCTCTCAATCACTCCTCAAAAGCTCTCATAAGCACCAAATAAATATACATGCCCGTTCGCCAACTGAAGCCTACATTGGGCACGGTGGTTGATAGAGCTTAGCATCCTGTTTGCGCATACAATGCGCAACCAGATCATTTACATAAAATACCAAGTTTTGCTGATACAGACGAAAATGCGAGCTCTAGGAAGGAATTGAGAAGGAGTAGACGTGATCTGTGGTGCAAGAGCTTTATTCGCCTGACGCTTCGGATGCTAACGCGAACCAGCTTTAGCGACAGCATCAGATAAGCGTAATTCCTACACAGGCAATTGCAAAATTTATAGGATGCTATCGCTAAGCTACTGCATACCTATGAATTTAAGGGCTGCCCTTTCATCTAGGATGATTGCGCTAATTGCTTGATGGCCGAAATGAGGGTCATTATCTGTTGAAATTTCATCACCCCTGTTAGAGGTTGGCGTGACTATTGTTCGGCCGCTCGGCACACCGGCAATGGCGTTAGAGACTGTGTTTGCCTACACGCCTCCCGAGTGGATACTAGCCTTGGCTAAACAAATTCTTAGCACTGATTCTAGGTCGGGCAGGTTCTTGCAATTGTTAATAGACGGGGGCCCATATACCATGAATCAAGTAACTCGTGGCTTACGTGATTGTGACCTCTTGCGAGAATTTCGGCTGCATCGAACTTGGTTTTGTAGCTTGATCTGGTCGAACGAGTCACTCCTCTGCAGTGCAGACGCGTGTTCAGCAATTCGTGCCGAGATGATTTTTCCAGTTTCTCTGAGATTTTTTTTCTTAAATACACCAAATCAGAGAAACGACTCCAGTGGGTGGGCCTTTTGGTTGCATTACGTGACTCCTAATTGCGGCTCCAAATCCAACTGATGCGGGAAGACGACTGATAGCTTCTGGTACTTTTTTACGTACGGAATCGTTCACTAAAATTTGAGCTTAGTATAATTTTGACTCTTGTATCGTTTGTGTTAAAACCCAGTTTGTTCTAAACTGCCTAGCAGGCAGAAGATGGGCAACGACTTTATTCAACAGCACACAGAGACAGCGGGCCTTGTTGGGTCCTTTAGTTTGTCCACTCCGACATATTTATATGGTTCCGGTCCTTCTAAAATATTCCCTGCGTATGTTTTGCGCCTGGGCATTCTGGAAGTTTCTTGACTGCGGCCACTACCCACGCTATGTGAGCGGTCTTCTGCTTTACTCGACGCATGGCGTGGGCGGCTTAACTGCGGGCATGACCCAGCTGGCCTGTTCTTCTCGTCGACTGCCGTGAGTGCATGAGATCCCGCCTCCGTAACATCTCCTACTTTTAGAAAATCAGCCCTATGTTTCTTCCTTCGTGGGTCGATGATGAGGTATTTCTTCAGTTGTACTTTCCAGTGAGCTCTTCGAATGGGCAGTGGTGACGACCTTGGGTATTGGGACCTCAAGAGTGTAACCTAGCATTTCGAGTGCCATTTGGCCGTCTGTGGATCAACCGTATCTGAAGATATATTCTTTCCCTGTATTTTTCGTGATCTCAGTGGTAGCGGCTGCTTCTGTTCCTGCTGCTGCTGCTGCTGTTGCTTTTGTTGCTGCTTCTGTTGCAGTTACTTCTGTCGCTTCTGTTGCCGATTCTTATGCTGTTCTTCCTGCTGCTGTTGTTGCCTTTTATTGCTTATTCTGATTCTGTTGCAGCTGCCTCTGCTGCTTCTTTTGCTGAATCTTGTGCTGTTGTTCCTACTGCTGCTGCTGTTATTTTCTTTGGTGTTGCTCCTTCAACTTCTGTTGTAGCTGCCTCTGCTTCTGTTGTTGTTACCTCGGTTGCTGTTGCTTCGGTTGCTGCCCCTTCCGCCACTTCCGCCTCTGCTGTTTCTGTGGCTTTTATTCTGCTGCCGATTTCTATGCTTTTTTTGCTGCTATTGCTTCTGTTGTTGCTTTTTTGTCGCCAACATTCGGCAAATTAACGCCGCTGAGGCCCTGAGTAGAGAAATCCTGTTCCGTTTCACGACCCAAGCCGATGTATAACTGGGTAGTCAATGGTCCTCACTGAAAACGTCAGTCTATGGGGCACCAAGAAAATACTTGGATGCACCCAGCGGCGCTCCAGTGATTGGATCAGCGGATGGATCCTGCGGGTGTCTGCGGAGACAGCCCGAGCTAGGGGCCGTAATGATGATTCTTCCCGCCAAAGATGACAACAAAATCAGCCAGAGAGGACCGGAAGAAATACTGGGCTGAAATAGCAACCTTCATGGAGCAAGCCTCGAACGTTGGTGATACTCGAAAGCTCTACCAACTTATTCGTAAGACTAGTGGTAAGCTGTCTTCACTGAGTGACTCAGTTCGTGATGTGAATGGCGGTTTTATTGCTGACAACGCGACCAAAGTCGAACGCAAGCGTGAGCACTTCGAGCACCTCCTCAACTTTGATACGGAGCCCACTGCCCCCTGCTCCCATTTACAGCAAGGCCTCCTCCATCTCTCACTTATCCAGTGTCATGCGACCCGCCATCTGAACAAGAACTAGCTAATGGCATAAAAAGTGTGCGCAACAATGAGGCATCAGGAGTGGATGGCATACCCACTGAAATCTACAGGTCTTGTGTCGACACTCTGGCGCCCTGGCTCCATGAGGTTATTTGACAAGTGTAAAGAGACGAAGCCGATCCTGATGACTGGGGTTCAGGCATCTTTATGTCTGTCCACAAGAAGCGAGATAAGACAAGATGTGAGAACTACCGCAGCATTAGCCTCATAGAAACCACTGCGAAGATCTATTG